GAGAGAGAGAGAGAGAGAGAGAGAGAGGGAGAGAGAGAGATGCAAAGGCCTGACTTTCCCCAAAAACAAAACTCTCCAAACGTGAGCTCAAGGCCGGTCAAATCCCAGGCATAAGGACTAGACTCAGTCAGATGACTTGGCCCTACAATTCAGGTCACATACCTGTCTGAACCCATTTCTCCATTCAAAAGTGGGGAAAACGGTAACCCCTAATCTTTCCACCACACACAACTGTTATGAGGATGGAATGGAAGAATGTGTATAAGCAAACCCCAGTGCAGATAAATAACCTGAGGCATGCCCACACACAAATCAGCCAGGGAGCAATCTGCTCCATCTGGTCAACCCCGAATTTTGGTTCCTAGGCTGGAAGGGAGCTCACAACTGGGTCTCAGTGCTCACCTCTACACACCTCCCCATGACAGTTAATAAAGGAGAGATCTTGCCTCCATCCCCAGCGTGGACCTGGCTTTATTTAGAGGCACTTGAATGCAACTCCGAGTGCTGCCTCACCAGCCCTTTGAGGGACACACCCTGCATTCTCCCAGGAAGACCCACGATTGCTCTCCTGAGATGCCCTCCCCACCTTAACCATGAATCTGCTTGGAAAAAAAAGAACAGTATTGTGGTAAAGCTCCCAGGTGAATTTAGAGAACCTCAAGCTGGCCTCCCTGCCCCCATGTTTATGAGGAAACTATTAAAGAAAAGACCCGCGGAAAGATATATATCCTTTCTGCAAATTTCAGCACCTGCTTCTGTTAAGTAATACTACTGAGCAACTCTGTGTTATATACTCAGACATACAGTTTACCTAATATTTTACTTAATAATTAGTCAGTTATTTTAACCAGAAACTTGTGATACTGAGCAAGTGGGATTTCTTCCTTCCAATGGCAATTTTGCCAAGTTCCCATGTGGACCACAGTAACTTCTTTGGCAGTTAATTTTAGAGCTGGAAACTAAGGGGACTACAGAAACATATGGTGTTTACGGAACCAGTAAAACAACAACAACAACAATAATAATAACGAGTTCAGATTCTCTCTTTGGATAGAAGAGATTTTAGGAAAATCCTTACGCATCAGACAGAGACTTACCCTACACTAGCCACGATAATTTGTAAGGATTCCAAATTTCATTCAAGGGCTGTGAAAATCGTATGGGTTTGAGTAGTTGCACATAAAGATTAAAAGTAGAAAGGTATTTGTATGAGCCTTTTGAGAGCTCTACTCCATAAGTCACCTAAGATGAGAGCAGGAAAGTTTCTAAACGTCCTCGGTTGTAGCCCAAGGTAGTACCTCGGGGGACAAACGACAACTATTCCTAACACTGCCTAATGCCAGCAGGGCCAGGGGCCGACAGCTGTCACTGCACATCCGGGTGTCAGGATATTACCTCCCTCTCTCTGACTCTTCCTAATTGAGGGGATACACTTGGGAGCTGGGTCTCCCGGGGCAGCTTCATACACAGTTTCTACCTGTTTCTGCTGTTCCTATTGTTTCCTCATCCGCAACACACAGCCCAGACCACTCAGATCGGACCCTCACTAATGCCCAGGAAGCTCGTGGGGAGAGAACACACAAGCCCACGCCATCAGAAAGACTGTCTCTTTTCCTCAGGACTGCAACACTGCACAGTTCCAAGGCCATGTTCATATGCACAGTGCCCTGAGGTTGTACCACATAACTCCCCTGCTTTCCTCCCCCTTGCTTTTTATTCTCCAGGTCTAGAAGAAGAGGGAGAAAAGGGAGAATACCATTGTTACTCAAGAAAGGAGTAACGTCTCTGTCATCTCCATTCATTTCTTACTGAGCCTTGGATTTACACCACCAGTTAGAGAAGAAAGTTAAAGAACGCTGATACAGAGTTTAAAAGTCAAATCGAATACATTCCATCTGTAAATTCAGCAAGTTGACAGTGGGCCTATGGCTGCTTACATTTAATGTGTCTTGGTTTGTGATAAAGAAACAGTCATAGTTACTGAGGCTGTAGGTAAAGGGGAAGATCACACATCACTCACATTCTTCCCCCTTCCCTGTAAACCCATGGACTCTGGCCATGGGCTTGATAATGTTTCAACCCATAGGTACTAAAGGAAGGCACAGGTCATTTTTAAGAGAGTAATCAAAAAGGTAGACAAGGCTGCTGTAAACTTCGGTGAGGAAGAGAAGAACTGCGTAAATTAACAGAATATTTTTATTGGAATGAAAACTTATGACTTTTGATTATCTGTAAACCAATGGATCTGTATCAAAGCAATGCTGCCTAACAGACATTGCAGGGAATTTACTGGAGTTGCCAGGTGAGTATACTATTAGCGTGTCGATTGATTGTAAGAAAAGGGTGGCTTCTAAAATGTTTGACAATTTTTCCTACTGTCAATGAGCTCTATCCTTTTCAATGACCTCCTTCAGTAAGGGCAAATTCTAGCCCAAACTTAAGTCCACCTCATCGTTCACTGTAAAGGATGGATTCCAAATTAATTCAGAGATGCTATAAAGGAAGATGCAGAGACTCTCTTGCATCCAATGTCCAGAAGAGCTGACTCTCAGGCATCACGCAGCAAGACAAGGGTCCAGCCCACATGATATTGGCCTGCGGTCAATATTACATTATATATCAAGGGTCTCAAGTTCACACACACAACTGGTTGCGTAGCCAGCAAAGAAGACATCAGCAATTCCTGAGTTTCCTCCTTTTGTGGGGTTCCACAGAGGTATTCACCATCCTGAATTCAGAAACGGGACCAAGCTGGGAATGGAAAAAGTTGCAGACCCATACACACCTGGTGGAAGCCACATGGGGCCTGTCTAGGCAGGCACCTGAGAAGCAGTCATAACATCTGCCCCAGCACCGTGCATCCTCCACAGGTAGTGCCCGTCTGCAATCTAGATGTGGAGGAGGAAAAGAGTCCATTGACACACTTTGGTTTTCCCTTGGTGTATCTCTATGTGCAGCTCATGTACCCTCAAGGGAAGCAGCATGGGAAATCAGGGCAGCCATCACTGACCCTGCTCTTTTTCTGCACCAGAAAGGCATCCCTCTCCCTTTCCTGAGGTGTAGACTACTCAAGCCTTTCACCTGCTGAGTGCTGAGCCCAGGACAACCTCCGCCCACATCCCCTCTGGCCCTCCTCAACCCCAGCTGTTCCTCATGACTCCAACCCCATCCTTCTGCCATTCCACTCATTTCACAAAAATGACAGTCTCACATACCACACGGCTGAGAAGGACAGGAATGCGAGGATAATCACAACAGCCACGGAGCCCAGCCCAACGCCCACCATCTGCTGCAGCATGAATGACGAATCTGCGGAACAAAACCACACACTGAGCCCACAGTGGAAATAATCATGCACCTGTGCACACTCCATTTTAACCCAGAGCTTGGCCCCATTTACTCAACCATTCCAAGAATGCTCAGAGTGCCTCTGTGTCCCCTGAGTTGGCCTGGAGGGTGTAGGGCCTAAGGAAAATACAGTTCCAGGGCACTTCTGAAGAGGAAATAGAAAACCAGACCACACTCAAGTTACAAGAGATTTTTAAAAAGCTCATCTTGCTGTGTATACAAATACAGCAGACCGTGTTGCCTGTATCAGTCCTCTCTGAACCAATTACACTTGCAAGTTTTTATGGGCAGTTTTCGCTTACATTGAGGAAGAAAGCATTCTGACAGCATTTGGATTTTTGCTCCAAAAATGATAGGTAGCTCCAGTGCTGGAGCTGTATCAAGTGCTGGATACAGTCACCTGCACAGCACCTCCTTGCTCCGCTCAGCAGGTTGCCATGTGGATAAAGTAAGAAAATCGAGGTAAAAGCTCTTTGGAAGACATGCATATGTTCTCTTTGGGGGGTATCATATGTCAACACCAGGGGATGCTTTGTTATAAACCGAAAGACACCCACACTTGAGTTGCACATTTGGGCCAGGTGACTGAATCAGAGCATCACTAAAGGGCTTGTTTCCATTTGCAAACAATTTATTTAGCACTTACTATATGCCAAACACTGTTCTAATTACTTCTCCTAACCACCCACTGAGGACTATAATAAAAGCGTATTAAAATAATAGTGCCCAGCATAATAACAGTACACAGAGCACTGATATTATTATTATTCCCATTTTATAGATGAGGAACGGAGGCACCGAGTGGTTCAGCTACTTGCCCAAGGTGACCCAGCTAATAAACAGACACAGGATCCAAACCCAAGCTGTCTGGCTCCAGCATCTTTGCTCTTAACCGTAACATCTTAATGCTCTCCCAGTGCAGATCTGAATCTACACGGTCTACAGCAGAGAAGGTCATGTTCCCCCTCAGAAGCCAGGGGTGTAGGCCCTGCCCTTTCCTGCACAGGCTGAGGATGATGGGGCCTCGGACTGTAGCAGTTTAAAAGAACAAAAGTCTATGTGCAATTGGCATTGAAAAGATCTTGGGGGCTGACTCTGCATGCATAGAATTAAAACGAAAAATAGAGAGGCACCTGGGGAGCTCAGTCGGTTAACCATCTGACCCTTGATTTAGGTTCCAGTCGTGATCTCATGGTTTGTGGGATAAAGCCCCACATTGGGCTTTGCGCTGACACCACAAAGCCTGCTTGGGATTCTCTCTCTCTCCTTTTCTCTCTGTCCCTCCCCCACTTGCATGCACTCTCTCTCACAATAAATAAAATAAAACTTAAAGAAACAGAAAAACAGCATAAGCCACAGAATAAGTGTAAGGAAACGCAACCAAGTCCAAATTTTGCCAGATGATTTGTCGTGGTTTTCACTGTTGGAACATCAAAATATTTCCTTTTTCTGCACCCTCTGCCCCAGGCATATGCTTAGTCTGCCCAGTGGGTCATCCAGCACTGCCTTGGAAGAGCTGAAAACAGCAAAAGCAAGATCTGTTAAGTAAGAAGGAGGGGCGTGAGAGGAAAATTAGTAGTCCCTGGAGCTGAGACCCTCGAATGTAGATGACTCTCTTCCTCAGGCACATCTGAGAAGACTTACTGCTACTTAACTTTGTCATCACCTAATCTGTACTGTCCAACCCAGCAGCCACTGGCCACAATGTGGCTACTTAAATCTACATTAGTTTCAATTAAATTAAAAGTTCAGTTTCTCAGTCATACCATTTCAAGCACTCAATCTCAAGTACACATTTCAAGAGCCCAGTAGCCCCATGTGGCTAGTTGCTACCACACTGGACAGCACAGCTTCAAAATCCTCCCATTGTTGCCAAAAGCTACACTGACTGGCACCAACTCAGATCTCTACAACCAGGCTGAGAGCAGTCTGGTCTGTTCTCTAATAGGGTAGGTGGCACCAGCAAAAGCAGCCATGGACTACACTTCTTGCTAGAAAGCTCTGCAAAATCCATTACCTCAGAAAGCGTTATCAAGAGGCTTTCTGGAAGAACACGGCTGATGCTGTTTGGCTACCTTAGTATTCAGAAGAAAAAAAAAAAAGGCCTTGACATTTTAAGAGGCCATACTACAAAATGGAAGGAGCAGCTACGGTTACACTAGAAATAAGTAGAGGAAAAAAAATTAGGAGACTGACTTGCATTATTAGAGATTAAAACAATGCAATATCAGCATAGGAAGGAACATAGTGGAACACAACAGCCCAGAAACAAACCCAGTTGTACCAAATAATTTCAGAGCTTAAATACTGAAGTTGGGTTGTCTTTGTCTGTAACTTTGGACTCTGGACAAGTTGTTCTGTGCCTCAGTTTCCCCACTGAGGGATGATCCAGTAACATGGGAATGATAATAACAGCGCCCAACCTCCTATGTGTGTGAGAAACCTCCCATGTGTGAGAAACACATGAAGTAAGTCGTGTTAGGAATGTGCCTGGCATGCAGTAAGCAACGGGTAAATGTTAGCTACTGTTAATTATTGTTGTTTTGTTACTGTTTTCAAATTATTAGGGGAAATGACACATCACTTGTAACTGGCGCTGAGAAAATCGGCTGACCGGTCAATTTAGAGTAAAAGATATTGACCAGTTGAGCTTAAAGTATATATGCCAAAATAAAATCCAGACAAGTAAAAGGCTCAAATTGCAACCTAAAAGAATTAGAACAAACTGTAAGTGAATGCTTACCTAAAATATTTCTCTAAAGCAGGTGAGAATTTTCTAAGCATTATTTATTAATGGAGAAACCATAATGCTAACTGCTGGGAACTACTGTGGTTTCTACCACAGAGCCACCTCTTAAGAGGTATTGCCTTGCCTTGCCTTTGAGTTCTCATCGACTCCACTCTGCAGACTCTGCCTTCCTTGTACAAACTCCATGTTCTTTGCTTACCTCCAGCTTGCTCAGTTTTCTCTTCACCATTTCTCAAAGACCACTTGCAGTGGTCCACCAGCTCATTTGAAAATTGTATGAACCTGCATTCTAGAATGTGCTTCAGGTCAGAAGACTTTATTGAAGCAGTAACTCTTCTCTGGCTTTGAAATGTCCCCTCACAAACCAACAGGGCAGAAGCAAAGTAGGCATGTAGGGACCTGACTTTCTCTTGACCATCCATCAGCACCCTAAGCCACAGGCCTGCCCAGCTTTTCCTTACTCTAGACATAAGTATCGGACAATCATCTTTTTTTGTTTTGCATAACGTGACTTGGGTTCTGGCTCCAGGCCTGGTTCTTACTGGTATGCATCCCTTGGCCTACCTGGTGCATATACTCTGTGAAAATCTGAGTCCATCCAATCTAGAGTGCTCACAGTGTAGCCACACAGGATTTCTTTAGGGACTTCCCCCCGTTAATCCCTCACTGAGAACACTTACAGCTGACCAATCTGTACTACATTTTTTAGAGCTTTGCCATCTTCTGGTTACCCTCCCTTCCACACTTTCATGCCATAAAATCATGCTTATTTTTCTTCTGACTCACTTGTAGAATATTCTTTCAGAAACCCAAGTGAGTGAGTCATGTGTTATATCACAGATTTGCAGTGACTCAACCTTGAGAGAGTAAATCCATTAGGTTAAACTCCACCATTCTCTTTGGGGCGGCTCCCTGAGGAGGTCTAGTGCTTGGGAAGAGCAACAGGCCTTCCCTGGGCTTATCTTTAACTCTTTCACTAATGCAAATATCACAGGTGCTGAGGGGCAAGTTAGGAAGACCCTATGCCTACTCTCAGGCTCTGGGACAGCTTGAGGACTTCCTATGGATGTGGACATTTATTTCATGAATTTACACGAGCAGGACCATTTCCTGAAAGCAAAAATTCTGTTCTCCATAAGGTACAAATAATTAGCGCCGTGACTTCTGTTCGGCGTGTCAAGTTCTAAGGTCTCCTCACTTGAATTCCCTGCAGAGTAGGAGATGGCAAGGCAGATCAAAGTAGATTAATTTAGAGATAAATAACACCTGATGAATCAGCAACATTTAAAAAATTCATTTTCTACCGCAGCTTATCAAATTATCATAAACTTAGCAGCTGGCCCCCATTCATTAGCTCGCACTTCCATGAGCCAGAAGCTCAGGCACATTGTGACTGGGTCCTCTGCTCTTCCAAGGCTGAAATCAATGTGTCAGGTTGGCTGCCTTACCCTCTAGGTCTGGGGAAGAATCTGCTTCCAAATTCCTTGCACCTGTAGGACCGAGGTCCCCATATTCTTACTGGATATCAGCCATTGGCCACTCAGCTCCTATGCGCCCCCCTCATTCCTGCCACGTGGTTCCATCTTCAAAGATGGCAGGAGAAACCCTTATGTCAGATCCATCTCTCCCTTTGAATCTCCAGTCTCCCCTGTTTCTGACCCCTAGATCCAGATTGAAAGGGCTCATGTGAAGGTCAGGTCCATCTGGATAATCTCCCTATTTGGGGCCTTACCTACATCTTCAAATCCTTTCACAGCAACACTGAGAATAGCCTTTAAATCAGCAAATGAGAGAAGGTGGATGTACAGCAGTGGCCACATTATAATTCTTCCTACCACAATTACATGGAAAGAGCCTAAGTGTCCATCAACAGATGAATGGATCAAGAAGATGTGGTTTATCTATACAATGGAATACTACATGGCAATGAGAAAAAATGAAATCTGGCCATGTGTAGCAACATGGATGGACCTTGAGGGTGTTATGCTGAGCGAAATAAGTCAGGCAGAGAAGGACAAATATCATATGTTTGCACGTATAGGAGGATTAGGAGGAACTTGACGGAGGAACAAGGGGGAGAAGAAGGGCGGAAATGGTGGGGGAAAGGGAAAGAGGCAAACCATGAGAGACTCTTGAATGCTGACAAAAACTGAGGACTGAAGGAAGAGGGGGGGAGGGGGGATGGGCATGGAGGAGGGCACTTTGGGGATGAGCACTGAGTGTTATGTGGAAACTAATTGGACAATAAACTATTTGTAAAAAAAAAAAAATACACGTGTGTGTGTGCGCGCGCGCACATACACGTGCATAGCATATACAAAAATAAACGTACACACTAGGCTAAGATCTTACGGTAAATCTTCTCTGGCTTATTTAAGTATTACACTTCCTATGCTTCCGTTTTCATCAGACTCTGCTGCCAGTTCACCAGTAATCATCCAACCCAATGGGTGCCAGGCACTGCTCCACTCTTCCATCGTGCTCCCTCAGGGCTATGAAATCTAGTATGAAAGGACAAGTGCACCAGTTGCTCTAAAGTATGACTCTAAAAAATGGCTAAGAAGAGGGAGACAGAGGGAGGGGGGAGGGGGGAGGAAGAGGGGAGGGGGAGAGAAAGTGAGTGGGGAGGAAGGGAGAGACAGAGAGAGACACAGAGAGACAGAGAGAGAGTGCTCCTGTCCTGTTGAGGAAATTTTTAAAAAGCTTCAGGGAGGAGATCGCCTTTGATTTTAATCTTGACAAACAGGTGGGATTGTAACAAACTAGTCAGCAGAGATTACAGGAAGGTTATAGGGCAATCCAGGTGGAAATAAGCAAGTAATCGTATGAGCAAAGATACTGGGGAAAGTAAGCAAGGGCCGTAACCCAAGACCTAGCACATCACTTTGAATGGAGAAGGAGGAGAGATGCAACTAGAAGGGCATGTTGGTGTCAAAGTGAGGCCTTAGAAACCAGTCTAAAACATAATGGAGAACCCTGGAAGAACCATCAAGGGAAATACGAAAATTGGCGCTGCAGTTTGGACAGATGAATCAGGCGTGTAGGCTGGAGTGAAGAAGCAAACTCTGGGGCGCCTGGGTGGCTCAGTCGGTTAAGCGTCCAACTTCGGCTCAGGTCATCATCCTGCAGTCTGTAAGTCTGAGGCCTGCATCGGGCTCTGTGCTGACAGCTCAGGGCCTGGAGTCTGCTTCAGATTCTGTGTCCCCCTCTCTCTCTGCCCCTCCTCCATTCACACTCGGTCTCTCTCTCTCTCTCTCTCTCTCAAAAATAAACATAAAAAAAAAAAAAAAGGAAACCCTGAACACCATGAACACTATGAAGGAAGAGGAGGAAGGAGGCTTTGCCCATTGTCTGTGCTACAGATAATAAAGGCCTATGTGCAGGGGACAAACTCAGAAATGAGACTGGCACACCCTAGATGTAAAATGTGGCTAAAAGGGAAAGGGTCACTAATGACCCAGGGGCTTCATGCCTGTGACTGAAGAGTGTTCTGTGATTACAGTATGTGATGATCTCCCATATATCAAATGACTTTGCTTTGTGACTCAGGAAATCAAAGACTCAGTACTTTGTGGCTGAAAAGGATCAGAAAGATTGTGGTAAGAGGCAGCTGAGAACCTGCCAAGTTAAATATAATTGCAAAGGCCCTCAGCTGATTAGTAGCAAGGCTCAAACAAGGAAGCCCAGGCCTCCGCATTTCCCATCAAACCAACTGCTGGTTCCCTGGTGATCACAAACCTCTTTAGGAGCAATCTGCGTAAGGTAAATAGCATAATTTGTCACTGGGCAAAGGTGAGAATGGGGCCGTTGCTCAGCACAAATAAACTGGAACAGGTTCAGGACTAATCTGGAGCCTGCAAATTACTCTGTGGGACGGCAGTCTCCAGCATTTTTGCAAAAGGAGACTGCCAGAGGTGTATGCACGACACAGGTAAAGTTGGTATGTACATATATATGGTAGAATTTCCTTCAGAATTTCAATATTATAGTGGGTTTTCTAGGATCTCCAAAGCCTCCCAGCAGTTTGAATTCAAAGGTTTGACTCCTCTTTCAACACTGGTTGTTAAGCTGAGAGGGGGTAAAAAGGTACTACCAAGAGCCACTTAGACATTTCCAAAGCAAAATCCTTCCTGTTACCTTAATCACAGTAGAAAGACTGTAGCCAGGTCTTTTGACCATTTCTTCCACCCAGTTTGACAGTTTGCTAATCATGTCAAACAGTTGCTGAAAGCACTGCCTTCTGGAAGCTATTTCTGTGCCTGTCCAGGAGGCCTGCACGTCTCCATTCTTCTGATAAAAGCACCTCTTTTCTTTGTGGGAACTCCATTCCCACCCTTAGAGCCTTAGGGAACGGATTGGCTGCAAAATTTCCGAACATTGAAATCCGTGGTTATTTCTTGTGGCTTTCATTTAAATTCCAAGACAGAGAGCTTAGCCCATCTACATACAGAAGTGTTAACAGCACACATCTTTGTTAAGACCCTCACTAATTATGCTGAGATAAGTCAGAGAAAGACAAATACTATATGATCATATTTATATGTGGAATGTAAAAAGGGAGAACTCATAGAGAGCAGAATGGTAGTTGCCAGGGTCAGGGGGGTGGGGAGAAACGGGGGTGGTGTTGGCCAGAGTACAAACTTCCAGTTATAAAATGAATAAGTACTGGGGATCTAATGTATAACATGGCAACTATAATCAACAACACTGTATTAAATACTTGAAAGTTGCCAAGAGAGTAGATCTTAAATGTTCATACATAACACAAATATACATGGTAATTATGTGAGGTGATGGAGCTGTTGACTAACCTCATTGTGGTAATCATTTTGCAATACAGATCAAATCATTACATTGTACAGCTTAAACTCAATGTTATAGGTAAATTATATTTCAAGAGAATGGAGGGGGTGGGGGCGGAAAGACCCTCGCTGTCTGGAAACCACAATCCAATGGTCAGGTAATGCGCCTTGCCCAGTAGAAAAGCCATGTCCACTCTTGTTGAAGTTGGTGTGAGTAGAGATTAAAAAAGAGAGAGAAAGAGAGAGATGGGAAATAAGATTAGAAGATAAGCAGACAAATGAAGGAAGCCTAATTCTCCAGGTCCCTCCTCATCATTTCCTGCTAAGCACCCTCTGCTGACAAGGTAACAGATCCCCCATTGTACAGTGCCCCACACGGGAGTCCTCCTGGAAACAGGATTCTGCAGGCACTTCCTTACCACCCAAGCCCATTGTTTCATGCTACTCGGAGGTACCGGACAGGATGCAAGGGGTTAAACTGATACTCCAAGCTAAGAGCGAAATTCCTCAGGCTGTTGCTAGGACTCGTAAACCGCCAAGGAAAAAGGTCCAGATTCAAAGGTCATAAACTTGACAGGATTTCTGGTATTAAGCTACAAACTAATGGAATTCCTAGGAATCAAATCCACTGGCTGGCTGCCTGTTGGTTTAAAGAAATGTACTGCCAGGGAAATCCCAAGTCTGGCAAACAAGGCGCTGCGCTTGCTCAAGCCCTGAGGCAGTTCCCCCACCTGGACAAGTGCCCGTGGCAGGAAGAAGGTTTAAGCTGCACAGCACCCAGCTGCTGCATCTCTTGTGTCCTACATCTCTTGAGGAAAGGGACAAGGGTACACACTCTCCCATCAGGCAGACCCAGGGAAAGACTGAGGCAGCCCATCTAATGGACCAAGCGGGTCACTCTGCTGCCAGGGCAGGGGATGCCAGCTTTTCCCATTCCGCAGGATGTGGTCGCTGTTTTGGGTGCTCTGACCACTGCACAGCCTTTTATCTTTTCCTCCTTTCTAAATGAAAGTGCTTATTGTGCTATCCAGTTTCCCCTTTCATATTACAAACTGCGGTTTGAGGATGCTTACATTTTGCATTTAGTCATAGATTGCTAACGGATCGTGAGAGGTCTGCCTGGATTTGATCAAGAGGGATGGGCCATCCTCAGGAATCCAGGTCTTGGAGCAGGATGCAGACCCACACAGAGTTGTCGTCCAATAGAGTTCCACTTGTGATTGTAGAGAGGACAACTCTTCCATCGTGGAGGGGGTTTCTCTTACAAGTGTATGTGTTAGTCTGCGCGCACGCAAAGCATACAAAGCTAAATGGCTCAAAGCAGTGGACTGTTTAGCTCTCTGTATTGGTCTGTCAACATGTTTCTGCCTCTTTTTCTAATGGGAACCGTGTCCACCTCTCAGTGCAATGCCAGTGTCGCTGTCCATGTCAATCACACTGATCTGCCACCAACCGGCCACCTGAGTAAGCCCCAAATCCAAGGTAGGCTGTTCATAGTACATAGTACCCTAGGAGGGGTTACTAGTCATCTACAGACAGGCACTTAATCTAGGAGAAAGGATTCCTTCCCTGAATTGAAAAACTCTGTTCCCGCTGGAGTTGCTAAACTCGGCAGCTGGGGCCCATCCCTCTCCATCCCATGGCTTATTGTGGAAGAAAGTGAAACCAACCCATACATAGAAACAGAGAGCAGAGGGGCGCCTGGGTGGCTCAGTCGGTTAAGCATCCAACTTTGGCTCAAGTCATGATCTCACAGTTCGTAGGTTCAAGCCCTGCATCCCGCATCTGAGCTGTCAGCACAGAGCCTGGAGCCTGCTTTGGATTCTGTGTCTTCCTCTCTCTCTCTGCCCCTCCCTCGCTTGTGCGCTCTGTCTCTCAAAAATGAATAAATATTAAAGAAAGAAAGGAAACAGAGGCAGAGTGTGCCACTCCTGGTGTCCAGTCCCAAGTGTCACTTCCTGGAGTCCTGGTGCCCCTGTGGGTCTGGATCCATAAGCTCCCCACCCCCATCCTCTTCAGCTATGGCTTTTTGCATAAACTAGTATGAGATGGGTTTCTGTCACCTGTGACAATTTAAAAAGAAATCTCATTAACATAAACTCGATGCTGCAGACTAGAGAGGAGAAATAAGGACAGGATGCTTAAGCAGAAAATGGTTTTACCTTTCACTTGAGCCCAAACTGCACAGGAGCATCTTCTCACCTACAGAGGAAAATGCAGGAAGACATTTTACTAGGCAGCACCTGACATCAATTTAAATAATACATTTTAGCCTGGCAAGTTTGTTTTATTTCTCTTAATTTGGATTAAAATATCTTTAAAGCTTCATCTAGCTCTAACATATTATAACTTAGCCATATGACCACTAAGTATTTGAGGGACTGGCATAGATAGCAGGGACAGAAGTGACCCTAGGGATGAATTCTATAACTTCTCAACGGATCTCACAAAGCACACACTATGGGTAAACAGGAGAAAAAGCAATGAGTTTCATTCCTTTGGCCAGTTCTGAGCAACCGGCATCGACTGCCTGGGAACTATGTTGAGAAAGATTCTGAGGTCACATCCGAGTTCAGCAAGATAGTGATGCATGTGGTAGGGCTGGCGAGGCTATGAGAAGTCTTGGTATACAATAATACTTCACCTGTCTAGAGGATATTTACCTGGCTGCCTCAGTTACCCAAACTGTAGCCAAGAGACAGAAAGAGAACAAGATAATAACAACCCCAACAACAGTAATAATAATAACATGAAAGCTCATCCATGGAAGAGGAAACCCACAAACTCACTGGAATGAAATACCTTCTCTTCTTCTCCCCCAGGAATTATATGCACATTTGTCTGTTAGGAATGGCTGGGATTACTCCACAAAACATTCCCCAGAGGAAACTAAACAGTTAGAGAAGGATCCCTCCAACTTCAAAAGGAAAGTCTCTTTCAAGTGACAACCTTGGGCAGTCTGGTTTTCTTAAAAATCAAAAAAAATATACTTACACTGACAAATACTGGGAAAAGCTCGAAATGGCCATAAGCTTCTGAATGTGACTAAATTTTGCCTTGATGCTAAGTGCATCTAGTGGAAAATAATACACGATAATAACAAGCGAAAGGGACCTAACCTTAATAATAACCAGTAAGGCAGGTACTTGGGAAAGGAGTGTATTAAAGGAGAGAAATTGGTGGGGCCAGGTGAAGAAGGGAGCTCATTAAAATAGAGTGTCATGACCAGATTTACACTTCACAAAACTCATTCTGGCAGTTTCGTGGAGAATAAGGGACAGGAAGATGAGTTAGAAAATTGATGTTCAGGGAAGAGGTGTCAAAGGCTAACCAGTGTTGATGAGGAAGGAGAGAAAAGGATGATTTTACACAGCATTAAGGTGATGGAATGGACAGAAGATGATGATGCACTAGACAAGAAGTAAGAAGGCAGGAGGCAAGAATTATTCCTTCATTTCTGTCTTAGCAACTGGGAGCATGGTGATGCTAGTTACTGGGACAGATACACAGAGAACTGGGAGAACTGGAAAACACACTTCCTGGTTTCAAATTTTACTACAAAGCTATGGTAATCAAAACAGTGTGATGCTGGCATAAAGACAGACACATGGACCAATATAGAATAGAGAGCCCAGGAAGAAGCTCTTGCACACATGTCAAGTGATTTTTGACAAGCGTGGCCAAGAACATTCAATGGGTAAAGGAAAGCTTTTTAACAAATGGTGCTGAGAAAACTAGATATCCACATGCAAAAGAATGAAGTAGAACCCTGACCCAACACCATATAAAAAAAAATAACTCAAAATGGATCAAATCCAAATACAAGACCTAGAACAGAAGAAAACATGGAGAATAAGCTTCAGCAAATTGGATTTAGTAATGATTTCTTGGATATAACACCAAAGGCATGGGCAACAAAAGAAAAAAAACACGACCTCATCAAAATTAAGAACTTTTCAGTAAAGGAAAAAACACACTCGTGCACTGTCAGCAGGATGTAAACTGCTGTCGCCACTGTGGAAAACAGTATGGAGGGCCCTCAAAAAATTAAAAATAGAACTACCATATGATCCAGTAATGTCATTACTATTTACCCAAAACATATGAAAACACTGAATTGAAAAAAATACATGCACGCTATGTTTATTACAGCATTATATACAATAACCAAGATATGGAAGCAATTCAAGTGTCCATCAATAGATGAATAAAGATGTGTGTGTGTGTGTGTGTGTGTGTGTAATGCTCAGCCATAAAAAAGAATGACAACTTGCCATTTGCAACAATATAGATGGATCTAGAGAGTATACTGCTAAGTGAAATACGGCAGTCAGAGAAAGACAAATACCATATGATTTCACTAATGTGTGGAATTTAAGAAACAAAACAAAAGAGACAAATAGGAAAAAGACGTTTAAATATAGAGAACAAACTGGTTGATGCTCAAGAGTTGATGGGTAGGGGGATGGGTGAACTAAAGAAGGGTATTGAGTCCACCTATGATGAGCATGAGTAATACATAGAATTGTTGAATCACTATATTGTACTTGAAATGTAATACTATGTTAATTACACTAGAATAAAAAAAAGAAACTTGGAACATTAAAGAAAACTAAGAACTTTTGTACATCAAAGAGCACTTATTGATGGAGTAAAAAGGTAATCCATGGAATGGGAGAAAATATTTGCACATTGCAAATCTCATAAAGGATTAAATCCAGAATATATAGAGAACTCCTAAAACTTGACAACAAAGAAATAAATAACCCATTTCAAAAATGGGCAAAGAGGGGCATATGGGTGACTCGGTTGAGTATCCAGCTTTGGCTCAGGTCATAGGTTTGAATTCCAAGTTGGGCTCTCTGCTGTCAGAGCCCACTTTGGATCTTCTGATCCCCCTCTCTCTCTACCCCTCTCCTATTCACACATGCATGGCATGTGTGCTCTCTCTCTCTCTCTCCCAAAAATAAACATTAAAAAAAATGGGCAAAGACTTGAATAACCATTTCCCCAAAGAAGATATATAAGTTGTCAAAAGCCCACTTTGAAAAGATGCTCAACATCGCTTATCATTAGAAAAACAGAAGCCCAAACCACATCCATTAGGAGGACCATTATCAAAACAGAAAACAGCAGATTTTGGGGAGGACATGGAGAAAATACAACCACTGTGTAATGTCAGTGAGAATGTAATACGGTGCCGCAGCCATGTGGCAGTTCTTCAAAAAACTACAAAGATAATTATCATATGACCCAATGATCCCAACTCTGGATCAATGTCCAAAAATTGGAGCACAAGGACTCAAAGGAGATTATTTGTACCGCATGTTCATAGCAGCCTTATTCAGAATAGTCCAAAGATGGAAGCAACCCAAGCATCTATGCACAGATAAATAGCTAAAATGTGGTGTTTACATACAACAGAATGTTAAAAGGGGAAGATGGGGCGCCTGGGTGGCTCGGTCGGTTGTGTCCAACTTGGGCTCAGGTCATGATCCCATGGTGGTGAGATCTGGCTTTGCGCTGGGCATGGGGCCTGCATGAGATTCTCTCTCCCTCTGCTCCCTCCCCAACTTGTGCTCATGCACCCAAGCTCTCTCAAATTAAAAACAAAAAACAAAAAACAAAAAACAAAACACATTGGGGTACAGTCAGTTAAGCGTCTGACTTCAGTTCAGGTCATGACCTCACAGTTTGTGACTTCAAGCCCCATGTCGGGCTCTGTGCTGACAGCTCAGAGCCTGGAACCTGCTTCAGATTCTGTGTCTCCCTCTCTCTCTGCTCCTCCCCTGCTCACAATTTGTCTCTCTCTCTCAAAAATAAACCTTACAATTTTTTTTCTAATTAAAAAAATAGACTGTGTCTTGGTCCTAAGTATGTGATGAACCTTATACTCCAGATGGCCCAGATTCACCAGTCAAGAGGTATTTCTACTGGGGTCCCTGCAGGTCATAATCTTGCTGTTGGTGGGTCTGAGCCCCACGTTGGGCTTTGCACTGACAGCACGGAGCCTGCTGTAGATTCTCTGACTGTCTCTCTCTCTGCCCCTCTCCCACTCACATTCTTTCTCTCTCAAAAATAAACATTAAAAAAAAATTTTTAAAGATATGTTTCTATCAGCATTAATATAATTTTTCCAATTTCCACTACCAATCTATGTGATTGTATCCCACTCTTTGAATTCTCCTAGGACGACCCATCACAATGGCTCTTCCAGGAGACCTTCTACCCGGATCCACTGCAACAGCTCCTGCCATTCTTGCCTATCCAGCTCACTTGATTTATTCATTATACAGTGAATATATAGTTCTATGTCTCATGAAAGAACCACCACTGGAATAATGTAGTCTTTCTAAGGACAAGGGAAGGTGGGGATGGGCAAGGAAGTACTGGCAGCAGAAAATAGGGCAGTGCTGACATTAATCTGCCTCTCCTTCCTGATTCAGAGAGAGAGTGTGGGGAGGCGGGAGGCAGCAGGAGTACAAGGAAGTGACAGGGAAATCTAGATGTTCCTTTCCAGCTCAGGCTTCAGCAGTGCGCTAGGATGAGGGCATTCCTGCAGCTTAACAGGAAGAACCAAAACTAGGTCAGTCCAAGCCCAGATCCAACCAGGTCCCGCAGGAAGTTCAGAACATCGACCTCCTTAAGGTTTCACCTGCCCATCGTTTATAAAGGCAAAGTAGTCATCACTCTTTTTATGGTTATTACATACAATGGCAAATACCAGGAAAACAAATGTTCAAACATTTAAATTTCACATGAAGAAGAAAATAGAGGACAGAAGAGTTTTTAAAGAAGTATATACCTTATTCCATTCACTTGTGATTCGTAATATAATGCAGTAATCATTCCCTTTTCTCAAAGGCGCATTATAGTATTTCCCATAGTACAGCCTGTCTCCAATAGATATCTCCATGGCATCATCTGGAACATCTTTGGCCAGTAGTTCTGCAGCCACATATCCTTCGGCATGAGAGGTGTTGCTAAAGAATGAGGTAGCCCCTTCAGAATCACAAAAAAAAGTGCTTTGGAGGGCCAGAGGAAGCACCAACACCTGGTAAGAACTGGAAATAAAAAGAAAATGTCTATCAGACCCTTGCTTCATTCATTTATTCATATTTATTAAGCACTTACTATGAGAGAAACACTTTTCTAGGCACCAGAGATACAATGCTGGACAAGAAAAAGTCCTTGCCCACAGGGGATTGACAGTCTGATGGCTCCAACAGGTAGGGCACTTCAATTTGAACCATGTGGCTAATGCCACATGACATGGGGGGAGGAATCTCAAGTTCTTGCCGCGGATGGATGCCGAGTACAACCTCTAGAGCTGGGAGAGGTTGTTACAAGTATGGCCACCTGCGTGTGCACGCCATAAGGTTGATCTAATCAATGGTTTCCACGTGGGCAAGGAAAACCCAGCTGGGCAAAGGGTTTAGCAGTCACATGGAGGCTCACCGCATACAAGAGTTAATGGATGAAGTCTGCAAAAAGGCTCTAGTCACATGGTAACCTGAAACGGAACTCATATGATCTGTATTCCCCCTCCCTCCTGCCCCGGTTCACAGACTAATACCAAAGTTCATGTGAAATAAATGAGAAGGAAGGAGTGCAAAGTCACCATGAGTTAATCTAGCCTGACAATATCCTGAAATAGCCAGAAAGGTACAATGTCATATGTGCATTGTGGAACTGTTCCCTAAGTGTGGACAGAGAGGCACACCAGCAATCCACTCTCCTTTCAAAACTCGTTGGTGAAAGGAGGTGCCAGCATAAAAATGCACTGAGAATGAATCACAACTTCTTTTTCATTCCCATCTCTTCGGTCCTTATCTCCTGCCTCTAGTATAGCACGTGTCTGAACACCTGCTTTCGCTATCAGGCTGGAGAGCAGGGATTTAAATGATTGCACTTATATCCTTGTACATCCTTACACAGTTCTTTAGCTGTGATTGACTCTCCACTAATGCTTCTTGAGTTGAAATTTCAGTAAAGAGGAAAAACATGCATCAGTACCAAATATGATTTGGGTCATTTCCAAACCATTAGGCCACAAGATCTATTTTACCAGTAAATATATACTACCTGCTCCACATTCCTAACTCCCTACCTCCTCCTTCCTAAAAGTCCATGGGTCACTAGGTTAAGAAAAGGGAGCCCTCCACCTCAGTGGTTGTTGGGTTTGGAAAGTCTGCACCCCAAACACCCTAGGTGTCCCAGGACCCTGATTTCCACAAAGTATGGGCTCACTTTCCAAAAAAGGGCTTTCTGTAAAAGGTACAAATTAAAGCCTGCAGGGCAGTGAGCTGTCATCACCACCACTGTGAAAATTTACTAAGTATCCACTCCCTACAAGAGAATACCTGTAACAACATACTTTCCTGGAGACTTGAAGACATTCCTATGAATCGTGGCTGTAGGTAAGAAAGTAAATGTAAATGGTGCAGCACCTCCATGCTGCTCACAAGCTCCTCTTCAAATCCACCTTGTCTTTCCAGGTAGACAGTGGTGTTCAAGTGCAAGTTCAAGGCATACCTTTGGTTCTGGGCATTGCCCATTAGAGGCACCAGTCGTGGGGCATAAAGCAGTCTCCCCAGTTATCATGGTCATAATCACCTGAGTTGCTTGATAATTACACAAATTTCCAGCCCCCATCCCAGGCCTACTGAATCGAAATCTCCAGGAGTCAAGTCTGAGAATCTGCACTGCTGATAAAGCACCCCCAGGTGATTTCTAGAAATCGGCAAGTGTGGGAGACACTAGCATTAAGAGAGCCCAGGAACAGGCCACATCATCCATTCAAGATCACCAAGCTAAGAAGGGAGTCTTGGTCCCAGAGCCCAGCTCCACCATGTGCCCCAAGCCACTACCCCACTACCAATGCTGCACAAAGCAGACCCAGGCCGGTCTCACACACTGGCAAAGCTGCTTCCCCAGCTCAAACCAGGTACTCAGGGAGAGGAAATCACCCCACTCGCCTCCTGGTAATTAACCCTGATGACGTTAGGGAAGCAGTTGTGGCTGTTTGGAACATGACTGTTCTGGAAAGACTTCTCCCCTCTTTTTCACCCCCCCCTCCCCCGGAATGACTCACAGATCTCCACTTCCTGTTTTGGAGGCAATGGAGAGCACATTAGCCACAAAGATAAACTGTCATTTGGCTTTTCTTTTTGCCTTACGTAACTATTTGGCCTACATATTACATTTACTCTTGCAAGTTCTTTCAGGTGGTGATATCATAATTTCTGCTCTCCTTATAGCAACAGAATTGCAGTGCCTTCCAGTAACCTGTCAGAAACAGAACAATGTGGGCAACAGCCATCCCAGAAAAGACCTTCAAGAATTTACTGCACTTAAACTAATGGAAAGACAGGAAAAGCCTAAGTTTCGTTACATATGGACACACCGATTGGGGCACCTGGGTGGCTCAGTTTGTTAAGCATCCAACTCCTAATTTTGGCTCAAGTCAGGATCTCACAGTTCGTGGGATCAAGTCCCACATCGGGCTTTGTGCTGGCAGTGCAGAGCCTGCTTGGGATTCTATGTCTCCCTCTCTCTCTTCCCCTCTCCCAGTCATGCTCTCTCTCTCTCTCAAAATAAATAAGCATTTAAAAAAATAAAAATAAATGAACACACAGATAATATATCCAGACTTTCTCTTTGTAATACCTCACATTTATTTTCACCTTGATTGTACTGAAGGGTCATTAGACTGACAGGTCAAGACTAACATAAGGCAATGAAGGTTAGGTCAAGGACGGCAAGATTCTTGCCATGTCCTTGCCTTATTCCTGTGAGCGAGTTGCTTATCTCTCCAGGGGAACCTCTATCTTCCTTTCTAAAAAAAAAAAAAGAAGGAAATAATTCTACTTTCTTAATCCAACCATGACCCTGTAAATAAAATGCTTAATGGAACACAATGTAGTTCTCCAACTGAGGGGAATTAATTCCATCCTAATACAATCTGGAATCCCAGAAGCAGTCATTAACTATGCAATGCCTTGCCCTTAACCCAATACGTGGTTGAATTAAGAGAGTTATTCAAACGACCCTTTCAGAAGCCACTACACACAGCCAAAGATCATCCTTAAAAAAAGAAAAATATACTCTGTCTTTGGTAAATGAAATGATGCTCCTGATATACCGTCACAGATAGATGGATGTACGTGAAGATATGAGTGCAAAGGATCATACCTGATCGTCACAGTCAACCAATGCTTGCTCAGTGACCAAAGGAATGGATTTAATTATTGAGCTAAGCTGCCCAAATGCTTGTTTCTGGCTTCATAGAAGTCTCTCTATTCATTTGGAAGGGCTCTGGTTGGAGTTAAAGACCCAGTCTGTGCCCAAGGAATCAAAAATAAAAGACCCTGGGGCATCTGTGTGGCCGACTCTCGGTTTAAGCTCAGGTCAAGATCTCACAGTTCATGAGTTCAAGCCCCACATCTGGCTCCATACTGACAACGTAGAGCCTGCTTGGGATTCTCTCTTTCCCTCTTTCTCTGCCCCTCCCATGCACTCACTCTCTCTCTCTCAAAATAAAACAAACTTAAAAAAGAAGAAAGTTTAAAACAATAAATAAATAAGAGGCCCTGCCTATACTGACTGCCCCAACAATTTGAGTGCAGCACCTAAAGAGAGATCTCCTCCTCAGTCAAACCAAAGTTTCCAAAACTCTCCATGACGATCACTGGACAGCTATGGAAAAGGGGCCACTACTCACCTGATAGGTCCATTTTCCTCCTTGGCTTTCCTCAGTCTCAGATGTGGTAGAGGCCTTCCGTGCACTGTAACAAAGTCTACTTCTGGAAGGGGAGGCTCTAAAAACAAGGCAAAAAGGGGAAAAGGGTATGAACAGAACAAAGTGGTCCTGACGGGGGCCATCAAAAGGAAAGTTCTAATGTAAGGAGTGATGAGCGTTTTTTGACATATACTGTAACACAGACGAATCTTGAAAACATGACACCAAACAAAATAAGCCAGACTTAGAAAGACACTGTATGATCCCTCCTACATGCAATATCTACAACAGACAAATTCACAGAAACAGGATTAGAGGTTGCTAAGGACTGAGGGGTGGGTAGGCAAGAGGGAGTTAATTGCTTAATGATCAACAGAGTTTCTGTCTGGGGTGATGAAAAGATTCTAGAAACAGATAGTGGTGGTGATTTACAACATTGTGAATGTACTTAATTCTGTGCCAGAAAATGGTTAAAATGGTACATTTTATGCTATATGTTTTACCACAATAAAGTTTTTAAAAAAAATAAGCAATGCCCCAGCGCTAACACAGGGTGGATACAGTGGGCCTTACAGTTAACTTGGTGGATAGGTTCCTAGATGGTGGGGAAAACCAGCATATCAGACTTCTAGATCCTTCCCAATCATTGAACATTCTGTCCTTAGGTTTCCCAAATAGACTTTCCACTGGGAGGGGACTATGTTGGCTGACACCAGTGTTCTAGTATCTAACTGATAGCTACATTCATGGTCTGAAGGCACCGGCTCCCATTCTGTCTTGTGGGTAACAAGGCTCAGATGCACTGGGCACTAACCAAATGTACTAGCTGTTTTCTGCACAGGCCTCATCTCATATGATCCTCTTAACACTGCTATCAAGTGGATGAGATTTATAGAGGGAGAAGGGAAGAAAGACAAAGGATCAAATATGAATGCCCCCCAAACCTGGCCTAGAACTCTGCTACAGTGAAACTGAGGAGTAAGAGGCCAAAATAAACATCCAAGCCTCTATTTATCCAGTTAGAAAATAGCCTTGGTGTAGAAATTCCCAATCCAAATTATAATAAATAAAAACTTAGACCTTCCTAGATAGATTTTAAAGCATTATCATGAGGGGCGCCTGGGTGGTTCAGTCAGTTCAGTGTCTGCCTTCGGCTCGGGTCATGATTTCACGGTTCGTGAGTTTGAACCCCATGTTGGGTTCTGCACTGACAGCTCCAAGCCTGAAACCTGCTTCGGATTCTGTCTCATTCTCTCTCTGCCTCTCCCCCACTTGCACTCTGTCTCTCTCTCTCTCCCTCTCAAATATAAACATTAAAAAAAAAAATAAGGGGTGCCTGGGTGGCTTAGTCGGTTAAGCGTCTGACTTTCACTTAGGTCATGATCTCACGGTTCGTGGGTTCGAGCCCCGCGTCGGGCTCTGTGCTGACTGACAGCTCAGAGCCCGGAGCCTGTTTCAGTCTGTGAATCCCTCTCTCTCTGACCCTCCCCTGCTCATGCTGTCTCTCCCTCTCTCTCCTAGAAATAAATAAAACATTTAAAAAAAAATTTAAAAAAAAATAATAAAACATGATAGGGAAGGGGAGTTGGGGGTTAGACAAAATAAAAGAAAGCGATTAAGAGGTACAATCTTCTGGTTATAAAATAAATGAGACATGGGGATGTAATGTACAGCACAGGGAATACAGTCAATAATATTGTAGCAACTCTGTATGGTGACAGATGGTGACTGGATTCACTGTGGTGACCATTTCACAATGTATATAAATATCAAATCATTAGGTTGTGTACCTGAAACTAATATAACTTGTATGCCAATTATTCTTCAATAAAAAAAGCTCTAATGAATATGTTATTCATACATCATCAATCAACACATTTATTAGCCACCTTTATACAGCAGGGACCACAGTCCGTGGGAGGCTGGGAGAAACAGCCATGGAAGACACAGTTTCTGCTCTCCAGAAGTTCAGACTTTAATAGTGGAGACAGTTTCAGAAACATGCGGCACTAGGGGCGCCTGGGTGGCTCAATCGGTTACGTGTCTGACTTCGGCTCAGGGCATGATCTCACAGTCCGTGGGTTCGGGCCCCGCGTCGGGCTCTGTGCTGACAGCTCGGAGCCTGGAGCCTGCTTTGGATTCTGTGTCTGCCTCCTTCTCTTCCCCTCCCCACTCATGCTCGATCTCTCTCTGTCTCTCAAAATAAATAAACATTAAAAAAACGTTTAAAAAAAGAGAGAGAGAAACATGCAGCAGCACTCAGAACCAAGATGAAGTCCTGCACAGGGTGTTGTAGAAGGTGCAGAGGAAGGATGCCTGACAGAGGGCGGGACGGTGACACCACCAAACGTGGGAACACACGTGCACAGGGGCAGGAGGTGGAAGCAAGGCCAGAGACAGGGCTGTAGCCCTCCCAGCAGTTTAGTGGAGCCGAAAGGCTGAGTCCTGGCCTGTGAGAGGTAGGGAACAAGGCGGAAGATGTGGGTACAGGTCGGATCTGAGGTCTTGACAATAAAAAGAAGACATTTACAGATTTCTTAGCAGATGTGTACATTAGAAACACAATTTAGGGGCGCCTGGGTGGCTCAGTCAGTTAAGCATCCAACTCCCGATATCAGCTCAGGTCATGTTCTCACGGTCGTGAGATCGAGCCCCAAAGCAGGCTCTGAGCTGAGGGTGGAGACTATTTGGAATTCTCTCTCTCCCTCTGCCCCTCCCCTGCTCATGGTCTGTCTGTCTGTCTGTGTGTCTCTCTCTCCCCCTAAAAATAAGTAAATAAACATCTTTTAAAAGAAATATTGGGGTGCCTGGGTGGCTCAGTCCGTTAAGCATCTGACTCTTGGTTTTGGTTCTGGTCCTGTCTCATGGGTTTCCTGAGTTCAAGCCCCTGTGTCTGGCTCCACGCTCAGAGCCTGCTTAGGATACCGCCTCCCTCTCCTTGTGCCCCTTCCCGACTTGTGCTGTTTCTTTTCTCAAAATAAATAAACTTTTTTTTTAAAGTTAAAAAAAAAAAAGAAATACAATTTAGACAGCTGGTTAAGGAGGAACTGAAAAAGAACAGAAGCACCAAAGCCTCGTTATAAGTGCCTGAGGTCTGAAGCAAGTGACGGCACTGAGAGGAGAAGAGGGGGCAGGTGGAGGAGACGCCCGCAGAGAGACAGAACAGAACATGGTGGAAGATAAGAAGGGGGAAGAATCTGGGCTTCGGTTCTGGCAACTGAGTCAGTAGTGGTGTCACGCATCAGGGTCTGGGGGAGACATTCAGAAGCAGCTCGCTGACGTGCTTGTGGGATTGTCCAGCCGGCAGTTAGGATGCAGGTCCAGACGGGAGCAAACCGTGGTGGTGCTATGGAGTCAGCCGTCTGCAGCTCCCGGGTTGGGGGGGGAGGCGGGCGGCATAAATGCACCTTGGCGCCAACCACTAGGCTCCCCAGGCATCTGAGGAAGAGTGAGAGCCCCAATAGCTTTTATTAACCAGTGCTAAATCGAGACTTCCTTCCAAAGTCACGCAGGTATGGTCGCATAAATTACGTTTCCATAAGCCTGTGGGATAGCCGGGGACCCAGGGAGGTGACCTGGAACAGCCCCTGTGTATAGTCAGGGTCTCGCAAAAGGCGTTGAAGGTCTATGCTGTTTCCAAGAGGCGTGTGTTCCAGAGATTCCGCCACTGACTCCCAGAGGAAGACAACCTCCAGGTTCCCGCAGCGACGATGGGTAGAGGGGGTGGAGGTTTGAAAAGCCCCGGCCAGGTCCCCCAGGGGAATGTGCCCCTTCCAGTCTGAGAATTTCTGCCCTCAGCCTTTCACACGAATATTGAACTGCGCTTTCATTGGTGATGTCCTGTTGTCACAGTAGAGTAAGTGCTTTTTATCACACATTTCCTGTTTTCAGCCCAGAGGAAGATGAACTGTTCACTCTCTGTTTGAGAACCTTCCTCGGGCTATTTTAAATTTTTCCTGTTTGCTCTTCTCTGATTAATAATTCGAGTTACTCTAGTTTTTTGGCTAACCTCTTAAGACTGTCCACTTTCTCCCTGCCCTCAGTACAAGCAGAACAAAGCGCTAGGTCAGCTGGGAGAAGGCGGCCCGTGGACGGAGCTGGAAGGCCACCTCTGCCTGTTTCATGCTACACTGCCTTTTGCTAGTTTCATGCCTGCAGTTAGTTCTAAATGTGCCACTGCCGTCTGGCCGATTCCATCCACATGTGACTTCCGGACTGCTTTCTGTTCCAAGACCTTCCCCACCTTCTATTTTAAACAGGCTACTTCTTCTCTATCATGTAAAAGCCTGAAGTTCATCTGGCGAGTTGTTAGCCACATTTCAAGGTTAAATAACCTTAACTTCCAGCCATGTTTTCCAAGGTGCCTTTCCCCGTACCCCCAGCTGGTGTCCTGGCCAGATGTACTCTTCTTTCCATCAGCCTCATTACTGATTTCAATCAAATCAGCCCCAAGGCCAGAAATGGGTCATGTCTGGGCGGGAGAGTGTAGATCTTCCACCCTGGGTGTGTGAGATGGGGGAGGACCCAGAAGGGAGACTCTCATTACCATTCCTAGGTGTCAACAATATCCACCCTCTACTAGAAGCAAACGACAAAGGAAAATACAGGAGCTGCTGTGTGAGGAAACTCTAGAGAGTAAGGAGAAAAGCAGTGAAGGAGAACTTTCCCTATAAAATATTAAATGCAGTGTAAAATTACAATAATTGAAATAGTAAGGTACAAGCCCAGGACAAGCAAAGCAATGGAAGATACTAGACAGTCTAGAAAGAGAGCCAAACAAATAAGTGAGAATATAGTGCATGACACAGACAGTCTTTCCAAAGGAGGTAGGAAGACGCCTGAGTGGCTCAGTTGGTTAAGCATCTGACTTCAGTTCAGGTCATGATCTCATGGCTTGTGAGTTTGAGCCTCATGTCAGGCTCAGTGCTGACAGCTCACAGCCTGGAGCCTGTCTCCAATTCTGTCTCCATTTCTCTCTCTGCCCCTCTCCCTCTCATGCTCTCTCTCTCTCCCTCTCTCTCAAAAATAAATAAATATTTAAAAAATAATAATAATTAAAAAAATTTTTAAAAACCCAAA